CTCTCGCCACCTCTTCCGCAGTCTCGGAGAAAGCGACTGAGGCTGCGACGGCACTGAAGGCACCGGCAAAGGAAACACACGGCTATCGCTGAAAATCAAGCCATGCATAAAATCACCATGGAAAAGATCGTGCAGGGCATCATCAGCACACCCTCGGTCCGGACCCTGCTCCTCCCGAGGGCTGCCCACAAGTCACCCCTGAGTGGCGGCCTTGCCGCCCGGACCCTTCTTCTTCTCCTTGCCTTTGCCTTTGCCACCTTTGGCGCCTGCCTTACCACCGCCGCTGCCGCCAACGCTTCCATGAGAAGCGCTGCCTTGCGCCCTGGCGCGCTCACGGCGCTTGTGTTCCGACTGACTGAAGGAAGCCGCTTCGGTGACAAGCCAACTCGGTGCCACATCTGTCGAAAAGGAAGACGGCTTGATGGCCAGCATGCTCTGCGCAGCATCACGATCCCCCGTCCGGCGTTCATGGATCCACGCCGCCAGGCGGCGCAATGCCACCTCGCAGGTATCATCTTGAGCGATGATGCTCAAGACCTTCGATTGGGAAGATCCACCCTCCCTGGCCTTGAAATCGACCAGCGTCGCCAAATTGAACAGATCTACGTAATGCGCAGTCTGCCTCTGCTCCACGCTGAACATGCTGTTGACCCAGTCTCGTACACAGCGAACGCCCGACGCCTTCATGGAGGAGTAGATCTCGGGCCCTGCTCGCTTGAGGTCCGGCGGCAGCGCCGCCTCCCAGCTCTCGGGGCCCTCTTCGTCTTCCCCCCAAGCCATGCCTTCCTGAGCTCTGAACGCATCCCGAGAATGCGCCACAGCCCCCGCAGTGGAGAGCTCTTCCAACTTTTCCTTCAGCTCCTTGAACCTCGGCGGGGAGCCCACCCCCCGCCCCAGGTAGCCTTGGGAGAGCAACAAGGCCTTCAACCGCTGCTCAAGGGGCTCCAGGAGCCCCACCTCTTGCCAGAAAGACCTTGCCCAGGCCGGGAGCAGGGCCGACCGTCCGTGCCACAACACCAGTAGCTCTTTCACCTTCTTGGCTTGCTCGAGCATGCGCGTCTGCCCCTGCAGAGGGGCGTAAGAAACCCCTTCTGCGCCTTTGTCTCCCATGTTCCTAGCTTCCTGGGGGAGAGGAGTCTCTCCCAGCGTCTTTCCCAGTTGAGCCTGAAGCAGCTCTCTCACACTTGAAGGCTCAACGTCGCTCAAGGCGATCGCGTTCACGTCCTCCGGCACAACGCCTTGCACCAGGGAGCCGCCGGCCAGGCAGACCGACAGCACTCCGCCCTGGCGGCCTTCCACTACTCCAAAACACCAGTTCAACTCGGGCTTCAGCTTGCACTCTTTGAACTGGACCACGGTGCCCACAGCAGGGACCACGCTGAGCTGGCGAACGGTGCCAAGCACTTCTTCACCAGCTTGCCGTGTTACTTCCGGACCAGTGCGCTGGCACTCACGCCC